AGTGATCCCTCATGCAGTCCTCCTCGACCAAGGGAAAGTCATCCTCTCTGTGGGCTGCTTCTCTTACTTCCGGGGCCTGGGATTCCTGAGGGCCTGCCTTGGCACTGAAGACTGAAGCAAAGAAGGCATTCAGTAGCTCTGCCTTCTCTGCATCTTCCAATTTAATTTAGCCATGACAGTTCTAGCACTCTTCTAGAAAATATGCCACCTGGCCTGTATTTTTTTGCATTCAATTTTATTGAAGTAGTTTGTTTAGGAATGGCTGCAGGGTTTATTTTTACTGTTCAGATATGCAAAGTGTAGAACTAGCCTTGATGTGGAGTGTGATTGATAGATATGTCATGGTTTTCTAAGGAAAGAAGACTTACCTAATTCCTGCCTCTAACTCACTGCCTTCTTTAACTCATTCCCCACTTTCAGCTAAATTTGACAGAAGAGTAGAGATTTGGAAGAAAACATGCCATTGCCACAAGCTTTGGAATAAAGAAATATTGTCCAGATAGAAAAGACACCCATATTAGTATTCCCTCCCTTACCCCTGCTGAGGAAGAACTGGGGAGCTTTGAATTTCTTGTATTCCTAGAGGTAACGAGCCTGCTTGTCTTAGCCATCAGAGAAGATCTATGATACAGCACAAGGAGAAGAGGGTTTTGGAGCTGGCAGAGACCAGCCGTTGTAGGGGAGGGTGCTAAGGAATGTCGGAGAACCCTGGGAGAACAAGGCCCTCAGGATTGTTAGGGTATGGGAGCTGTGATTCACGTGTGACACGGGCTGTCTACAGGGCAACTTCTTCCATGCCCAGGACCTGAGAAGTGTGTGATGATGAGGAAGGACTATTTGGGTTTCATAAATAAAACCAACTTTTGTGATTCCCTGCATTTAAACATTTCCTTAAAACAAAGAACGGAGTTAGCTGAAATTATAAGAAGAGATCAAACCACTTAAAATAAAAACTTACAGTTGTAGCTGGGAATCCTGGTCTTTTAGGATAGTTTTTGTCTAAGTTGCTGGATTTTTTTTTTTTTATAAGTGACTGGAGTGCAACGCAGTGTCACTTTGGATATGAGAAAAATGTGGTGTCATTAGCAGTTAGTTTAGGTGGTTTGTTGTAAAATAAACAGGACATTCTTCATCCAGTACTATGGTAGGCGTTCAAATCAATTTTCAAGGACTGAAAGAAACTTAATAATTATACCAGCATTTTTAGTAAGCCTTTTGATAGCTGTGTAGTATGTTGGGGTTTTTTTCCTTGACAGCTTTGGCTGATGTTTATGTGATGCTTAGAAACTTTAATTCATCACTAATGTTATGTGCTGTTTTGAAATAGAGAATATGGAAATCAGGAAAGCTATCATGAGTAGAAAGGAATATATATAATGATAAACCAGAGGCATATTACTGGTTTAAGATTTTTTTTTTTTTAAGATACCTGATTTGTCTGTTGAATATATTTGTTGCAACTTAGATTTTGTAGGGGGACATTCCCATATATAATTGTAATATATACAGTTCACATGCTGTATAATATGCAAATATTCTTGATAACCTTTTTTTGAAACATTATTTTTCTAAGGAGCAAAGTACAGGATAAAAATGAAGAGTTTCTAAAATATTTAAAAGATATTTCATTTAAAATCAGAACTGCAATATTTTATGGTATATTGTGAAGCTTCTTAAAATATTTCATATAATATATTTTAATTTTATTCACTATTGGAATGCAACACTGTCATAGTTACTGTGTAAAATCTGGCTTTCCAGAGTAAGTATTTGAGAATATCTAAAGTTGGGCTTTTCAGAGACAGTGCTGCTTCTTTACATGGAACAAAAGTGAGGCAGGAATTATATCGGGCAGTTCTAAATGATTAGATGATGATGATGATGATGTATTTTTATTATGATGATGTCTTTACTTCTGGTATGTTTCACCATATGTGGCCAGGCAACTCACTGAGATTTATCCAGCTTTGAGCAAACTATCGGAAAGGTTCAGGGATGATGTACTAACAAACAAACAAACAAAAAAGCATTGTTCTCTTGCAAAGATAGGTTTATGAAGCTTTTGATACTGTAATCTAACAAAAATAGAGAGGGTTGTAATAAGAAGTCTCCAGTTCTAAACACAATCAAATGTACATTACGATGATCTTGGTTACTGTCCAGCATTGGAGTTGCCTTATTCTCTGTTCGTGCATTTTCAGTATACGTGGGTTGGGGGCCAGAAAGTGCTGACCTGACCTCAGTGAGAGTGTTTTAAAGCTAATGCTGGCAATTGCCGCGACTGCAGAGCCTCGGCATGAGTAGCTCTGGCAGTTCAGGGGATAGGATCTTACCAGTTGCCTCCCAGAATTTGATCTGGTTCAGTCACTTGCCTGTTACCTTAGGAAAGGGACCCGCTGTCTTTGTAAAGTGAGAGAGTGCACCATTTTCATGTGGATAATGATTTTGTCAATTAACAGCAAGAGAATTGAGTGCTATTAATTTCCTAGTAGGGGTATAAAAATGGATTGTAAGTAGATATGGATTTTTGTAAGCTCCTGCACAGTCAGGTTTTGAAACAGGTTTCTAGTCTGTTGGATGATTAAAGAGGTGTCAAGTACAGAGGTGTAGTTAAGCCACCAGTTACAGTGTTGTGGCAAATAATTCCCAGGAGAAGATGGGTTGTTTGGTGCTTTCTTTAATACTCAGATTTCTTAAGCTTGTGTTTTATGTCCAGGTAGCGATGGAGTAAGCCGTGATTACATTTATGATGATACAGTGATTTCTGTTGATTCTCAAATCTTGAGCACGTGGCTGTTGTTATGCTTACTGAATCGATGGTTCCCGGAAATGCAAGCATGTATTTCATAAGCTTTCTGTAAGCTGTCATTTATTCCTGTTCTCTGTGTGTGTACATATATGTAAGCATTTGTTTCAGTGCATTCTTTATGATGGTCATCTTCTCTACTGTTCCATGTGAATCTGCTCATTGATAATTTTTTTCTTCAGAAAATTCAAATGACACGATATTTTATGTTCTGTCCTGGAGAAATGCATTCAAAAACATTCACATTTTTGCACTGAATAAAGCTGAAGCTACTGTCTAGAAGATACATAACTAAGGCACAACCAAATGGTGTCTTAATGGCTGTAACACAGTTTCTAGCTGAATTGGAGAGAAACTATCCATAAACTACTGTTGAAATGAATTCTTAAACAGAAACATTTTAAAAAGTAGAATTGAGAATGCCTGTTTTAGCCAAATTTGCGGGGTCTCGGATATTGTGGTGAAATTAATTGTTAGACTGTAGAAGAGCAATATTGTTTCTTGTCTAATTTGGCAGGGGTGGCTGGGTTTCCTGTTTCCATTTAAAATGTGTTTGCTTCCCCACATTTACAAATTCAATTAAAAATGTGACCTTTTAGATTGCTGTTCCTATGACTATTTGATTATGACTATAATGTATGCATGGCTGTTTGTTTTTTATTTACATATTCTGTAGGAGTTTGTTCTTTTTCAGTGCATGGGACATGTAATAAAGAACAAAATTCTTCTCAAGCTCTCCACCATTTTAGGTGATCCTGGCTTTTCACATAGACCTTGCCACTTGGGTAAAAGGTGTTTGAGGATGGGTTTTTTGTAATTTTTTAATTATTTTTTTTTTTCATTGTATTTCCATCTCTCCAGTCTGGATTCCTTAGTTCTGATGGGTGAGGAGAGACTCATGAATGGTGTTCTTAAAAGCTCAAGACCACCAAGCAAATCCTCACGCCAAGTTATAAAGTACAGTTTCCCATCAGTTAGTATTGGCAAAGCAAAGCTGGCAACATGTTGGCCGAGCAGGCCATTAGGCATGCATGTGATTAAAGTTGCACTTTTGACTTTTTAAATTAGCAACTTGACTAGAAATACTTAATTCTGATGTCAGGTTTGGTGGCTTTTTCCAAAGTAGAGTTGTGTTGAACACTTCTGTGTGTAGCACACAATTGTATGTGTCAGTTAGATGTGGTAGATAAAATATACGTAAATATTAACAGTTTACTATTTACTTCAATTCTTGGTGAAACGACTGTCTTAATGGGTTTTTTTATAATACTCTAGGTGGCCTAAGTGTATTTTTCCCCATTGTATCCTGTGTAGCTTTTTTGTCTGTATTTTCTTTAGAATGGTGTTGTTTTGCATGTACTAGACAGATAAGCATAATTTAGTTTGTAGCTTATCGTTTAACATCTGTAATGCTTTTTCTGTATTTGTAATGCTAGTCAACTTTAATGCACAATTCAGAGTCATTTGCAGTTGGTTTTTTTTTATTTTTCCTGTGCAGCTGTATGTGTTTGGACACACACTTCAGAAATTGGTTGTGACTTTCTGTGTTTGAAACACTGTTAAACCATGAGGCATATAAGGGGGCTTCATCACTTTATTTCTATTAGGAAAGTAAAATACCTTTGCTTGAAGGTTGATTGACAGTTTCCACGTGCTACCTTAAAACATGTTTGTCTAGGTTTTTTTCCCCAAAATGCCATTTTCGCGTTGGATATAAGATGTTACCAAAAACTAGTATTTTCAAGTTGACTGAATAATGAACTTCTCCTGATGTTTTGTTTTTCATTCCTTTTTTCTATTTTCCAGCAATAGAAAGTGCAGTCTGCCTCTTTAAACACATTCAAGTTGGTTTTTAGTATTCAAATAGAAATAGGTTGAAAAGAACAAATGGAAATGGTGCAAACAGCTTACCCAAAAAATGTAGTAAACTCTTAAAAAGCACCATCTGTACTATAATGAAGAGAAATCTTACCAATTATGTAGAGTACTGTGATTTTAAAATGTAGCACCAGTACTCTGATAACTTTTGCAGTTAAGTGAAACATAGTGTTTCTTTTCATCAGAAGTTTTGGAAATGAAATGCCAGGGGCAGACAGTGTTCACTGTGCAGATGTGTGGTTCTGAATAGAATATTAGGAGAACGTGGGTATGAGCACTGCTCTTTTGCTGGCCTGGTAAGTGACACTGGTCACATCAGCTTACCTTTCTGTGACACAGCTTTAGTTCTATAAAATTCAGGGTTTTGTTATCTTTCCTGTTGATAAAATCTACTGAGGTTCATCAGTAAAAAGGCTTACACTACTCTTACATTTATTATGCCAATTTTGAAAACTGTTCTGTGTATTTTATTTTATTATCATCATAAAGAAGAGACTTTTGAAATGGAATTGCATTTTTTTTTAAGGTGAAAGCCTGAAAAATAAAGAAAATGTTGTATGCACCGGGGGGGGGGGGGGTGTCACATGTTAAGCATTTATTTTTCTCGTACCAGAGTACAGAAGAATCACAATATGCTTGTTTTCCAAGCACTTACTCTGTCAGAGAAGCTAGTGAGAAAACAAAAGTCCAGAACTGTAGGATCATATATTGTAGTAACCGGATGAATTGCTGATAATGTAAAATCACCATCATCCCGAAAAAAACCTCTCAAAAACATTTTTGACCAAAAACCCCAGCTTTCTTGAGAAAACGTAATTCTGATGGCTCCAAGCACAAGAGCTCTAAAATTTGCTCCAGGAAGCACTTGTTTCTTCGTGCCCAAGCTTCCCAATGTTGCCCTCGATCATGGAAAAGAATGAGTTAGAGCCATGCAGCCGGCTGGGATCCGACTTCTCATCTGCAAAGGTATTGGGCAAGGTCAGCAAGGAGTCCCCCAAGTGTGTAGCAACAGGTCTGGCTGTAGCTTTGAGGGGCAGAGGACCTTTTAGTACGACTGTTTTTATCGTAAGGGCTTATGAAATATTATTCTTATATTTTTTTTCTGTTTTAAAAGAGTAGTGATGGAGGCTTGGCATAGTGAAAATGAGATGGCTTCAGTGACTGTTGCCAATAATGCAAAGTTCTGATAAAGTTGTTACTGCTGATTTGCATCAAAGAACTTGGTTTTGTCTACTGAATATTTCTTTATTCCCCAAGGTTTGTACCATCAGATGAAAAGAAGAAACAAGGCTGTCAACGAGAGAATGAAACTCTAATACAGAGAAGGAAGGACCAGATTCAGCCTGGGGGAACTACAGTCAGCGTTACCGTACCTTATCGAGTCGTAGACCAACCTCTGAAACTTATGCCACAAGACTGGTAAAATAGATTGCCCTTTACAAAATTTCTTAAGCAGGAGAATGCAGAATTTGGAGGGGACAAATAAAATGCTACTAAATCCCCTGAAAAGTGAAGATATGGATATAAGAATGGATTTGTTTGTTAACTGTATAGAAGTGTTTTCTTCAGATGAAAATAATATGAAACTAAACTTACTTAAAAGGTCTTCAGAAATTGCAACACTCTGCATTTTAACATTATGAGCAGCACAACTGATTTTATTAGGTTTGCCTGAAATGCTCCAGAAATTTGAATAGGAAAATTCATATTAGTTTTCTGTTGTGATACTGTAGTGTGCAAGTCACTGAAACATGGTCTGAGAGAAGCATCCTTCTTTTTTGTCTGCTTTCTGAATGAGAGGCTGTTGGGAAGACATGTTTGCAGGCCTTCAGCATCTGACATTCTAACTTTGTTATAGTTTAAGAAAGAAAGAAAGAAAGAAAAAATACCCCAGACAGTAAAGACTGAGCTGTGATTTCGGTATTGAATCAGATTCATTGAATTGAATTGAATGATGAAAGCTTACTTCTGAAAGGAGAGCCCCGGTTTGGGAACGGGAATCATAGGTAGCTTTTACCGTTAAGAAAAAGCTGGAAACAGATTATTTTGTCTGTAGCCCATTGTTCGATGCTATGGAAACATATTTCTCTTTGAGCAGGAAAATTCTGGAGAAAAATCTTTTTGTTAATTGATGTAATGAATTGGGCAACATTTTGACTTCTTCCTCACAAGTGTTTATATTTTAGACATGCACGATGACATTTTGGGTGGTTTTGTAACTTCCAAAGTAGATTTTAATGGAGAGGAATACTTTGAAAAGGTCCTGTTCCTAAATTAATTGCTCTCTGTACTGAGAACTTGAACTAATCAGAAATCCATGGTTTTGAAATTCTAAAATAGCACTTAAAATGTTTGATGATCAAACATTTAAGAACCATCAAAAATTCTTCCTAAAGTGCTTCTTTCTTGACTTCAGCAAGGCTTTCGACACTGTCTCCCATAACATCCTCCTAGGGAAGCTCAGGAAGTGTGGGCTGGATGAGTGGTCAGTGAGGTGGATTGAGAACTGGCTGAATGGCAGAACTCAGAGGGTTGTCATCAGCGGTGTAGAGTGTAGTTGGAGGCCTGTAACTAGTGGTGTCCCCCAGGGGTCAGTACTTGGCCCAGTCTTGTTCAACTTCTTCATCAATGACCTGGATGAAGACCTAGAATGTACCCTCAGCAAGTCTGCTGATGGCACAAAACTGGGAGGAGTGTCTGATACACCAGAAGGCTGTGCTGCCATTCAGCGTGACCTGGACAGGCTGGAGAGTTGGGCAGAGAGGAACCTGATGAGGTTCAACAAGGGCAAGTGCAGGGTCCTGCACCTGGGGAGGAACAACCCCATTCATCAGTACAGTCTTGGGGCAGACGTGCTGTAGAGCAGCTCTGCGGAGAGGGACCTGGGTGTCC